ATTTATATCACTTTTGGTATTGCTGTCTAGAAAGCAACACAGTAACAAACCGGAAGTCCCCATTAAGCTGGTGTGAAGGTGAAGAGCTTCAACAGGGAAGATCACACCCAAGCCAAAGCTCTGACATCACTTTGATTCATTCAAATCACTGTTGTCACTTTCTTAATCCTGAAAAGGTTTTGCAATGTTAGGATTTCCCATGAGGGAGTGTTAATCTGCTTTAATCACCTGGAGATAGCCAGATACACGTAGATCAGGCAACGTGTGCTCCGGAGGCAGGGCCGGTGCTAGGATTCGTGCCTACACAGGCAAGGAGCATTTTTGCACCCCCCCTCCCCGACCCCGACCCCCTGTAAAAACAGGGCATTTTGACAAGTACTTGTACTTGTCAAAATGCCCCAAAGTTTGCGCTATGTTTTTTTTCACTTACCTTCGGTGCGGGAAAGCAGCGGCGAGTCAGCGCTGGTCCGGTGGGAGGAGCTCCAGGTGGGGTCCTAATTTAGCTGGCCGGCGACTGCCTGAGGTGCCGCGCGTGTCGGGATCCTCAGGCAGTAGAAAGGCATCAAAGCCCATTTCGTGTGCACCTTACTGTACAACTGGTAACAAATTGTTGAGTGCGTTTGTCGTTTGTTTTGCTTTAGGGATCCTCAGGCAGTCGCCGGCCAGCTAAATTAGGACCCCACCTGGAGCTCCTCCCACCGGACCAGCGCTGACTCGCCGCTGCTCTCCCGCACCGAAGGTAAGTGAAAAAAAACATAGCGCAAACATCGGGGCATTTTGACAAATACAAGTATTTGTCAAAATGCCCTGTTTTTTCCGCCCTCACCCTGCAGCGCCGTAAGGCGGCCGTCTGACTTACCTTGCGGTAGCGCCGGGCCTGTCCGGAGGACATGGATAGGATGTGGCAGGGGTTCAGGCTATGTCATTTCCCTGTACAATCAGTTTACTGTAAATATAATTTTTGACATTTTCATATTCAGAAATGTATTACTGGCAGCCTAGTAATGGTAACCATTAAAGGCTTTAGCCTTACAGCACTGGGGTCTTGGGTTTAAAATTGAATGCCGGATGAGCAAATATTGGCTACATACAAGAGTCATGTGTGTTTTTCCTGAAGCTTGGTGAGCTTCGTGAATTTCTTCCAGATCTGTGTAGTAATCCAGTGTGAAACGTTTCTTTTTAGTTACATGGATACTAGACATTTAAGCCGGCCAAAAATTATTTTTGTTTCATTACAGATTTTTTGTTATTTCGTCTTTCTGGTCCGAAAGTCAATTCATTTCAATGGTGCGAATCACAATTTTTGTTTGAATTTCGGATGAGCGACACAATAATTACGAACGAACATCCGTTGCAGAAAAGTGACCTTAAAGGAGAACTATGATGGGGGAGGGGCTTTTCACTCATCCTCATAGTTCTAGCCGACCTGTGACAATGAGACTGTCACAGGCCGGCTCAGTAGATCGGGAGGTGAGCGAACACATACCGGCGTTCGCTCACCTCTCGATCCTGTCACGGCTCTCTGCCGTGACAGGGAAGGGGCTGGATTCTCCCCTCCCCGCTCCGATCCGCCAGCGCTGACTGGCGGAACGGACGGTGGAGGGGGCGGGTACAGCTGGCTCTGCACTCGATAGGCAGAGCCAGCTGTCAGTCATGCAGCTGGGCGGATCCAGACATAATTGTCGGGATCCGCTTTAGCTGCGGCGTCTCAGTATACCGCGAGCTACAGCTAACTATATACTGAGCCTAGGGTGACGGGAGGACGCTAGTTTGTGTCCTCCCGTTACCCTAAGGAGAACTATGGGGAAAAGCCTTAACCCCATAGTTCTCCTTTTAAAGGGGTTATTTACTAAGCTGGCGAAGGCAGCTGAATGAATACCCGGGTCGAAGTGAAGTGAGCCGAAGCATTTTCGGCTATTCGCTGCAGCCCTGCACAGCTATTCTTAGCCGTACATCAGCTACATTCGGCTGACTTCACCTCCCTTCAACTCGGCCGCTCAGCCTCAGCACGCTTGGGCCAAACCAGATGGAAGAACCGGTTCGCCTCAGCAAATGCAACATCTGGCCAACGTTCGGCAGTTCATTCCCTGCTGTTCACCCCTATTTTCCAAGGGGCCGAACAGCAGTGATTGAATTGCCAAAACGGTCGGCTAAGTATTCTGTTCCGTCATTCTGTTCGCTACCTCAGAGGTGTCACCATCCTTACCGTCGGATCTTGGAGAATGTTGAGTAGCCCAAATTTCACAATAAGACAATCCTCACCTTGCTTCATCACCTTCTTACAAAATTTGGGTTATTCAGCCCCCGGGGGACGGACCGGCTGCGAAATAGCACTCCAAACGGCGCACAGGAAGTGACACACTGACCTAATCATTCCCACTATATAAGCTCAGCCTGCCTGCCTCCATGCATATTGCTGAATTATCTTCAGCTCTCCTGAGTTCCTGTGTCCTGTGATTTACCTGCCTGGTTTACTTGGACCCAGATCTGCCTTGACCATTCTTGCCTGCCGCCGGGCCCTGACCTTGGATTGTTTACTGGACTTTGCCTTTGCCTCATCCCTGTGTACTGTACCTGTTCGATTGGTGTGACCTTGGTTCGTTGACCTGGATTTCGAATTCTGCCCGGTTCTACTACAGCACCTGGATTTCAGCTTGCACGGTGTTGTCACCACTGGCACCCATGCCACTCGCTGTCTACTTGGACTCTGTTCCCATCACCAGAGTCTCAAATCAGGTAGCTGACAGCTTCCTTGGGAATGATTTCTTCAGTGGTGTGGAATCTTTAGTCACCTAGGCTCATCACTATGTGTGTCCTTCCCAAAGAAGCAGACAGTCAGGTGATAAGATGTATAGCCCCATAATTGGCCACGGCTTGTAGGTTTAGGCTAATGCACCACCTGTGACATCATCCTCCTGCCGGCAAGATCCCCGGGAATGCTGAGTAACCAAAATTACGCAAGAAGACGCCGAAGCATGAAGGATTGTCTTCTCATGAAATTTGAGGTACTCAACAATCTCCGAGATCTGGCGGGAAGGAGGGTGACTCCAACCCTGCCCCGTCACCTCGGGAGGAAATCGGAGGAAGGTAAGTATATTAACTAACTTTTACCCTTCACACGTATCCATAGCCCAAATCTCACAGGAAGAAGCTGCAGTGCCTTCTTGGTACAGTTGCAGGATACTCTCTACCACCAGGAGCTGCAGGACCACCTGCTTTTCCAACGCTTCCTCCTCTATGCACCCTGATGACTTTTCAATAAGCTGTTTATCCCTTATACAGTATATACACACTACAGTGCGCTTTCACCTTCTTTTCTTTTGTTTGACGGTCAGTTCATGTCTATGTTATGTTCTGAATAAGAGCAAGTGATAGATATATTTCAGTGTCAACAATTCATTTGATACTGATATTTGTTCTCACACAAAGAGGGTTACCAGTGAAAATAGAAAGAAATCTGCAGGTTACACAGGTGTCAATGGAATTTGCCGTAACACCCAGTGGATCCTCCTACACCTCAAACACACTCTCCGTGAGTCACCCTATAGTCGGGGTATTTTCAGACAAGGTTTATTGTATGCAAACATCTCATTTATCTACACGGCCAACGTTATTGTGTTGGAGGAGCATGGAATGGTTTACCTTCTTCATGGCTGACCTTGTAAATTGTTTCATTAGTGTATAACATGTTTCTTCAATAAACAGTGCAGTGGTTACATATCTATATATCTTTATATATATACATTATGCAGTATATATATATATACACTGCATATATAATTTGGTGTTACTGAGAGCCTGTAATAAAAAAAAATTATGTTCACCTCTTGTTGGCTTTAAGTGGCTCACTCAGGCACGCCGCTCTTACTACGAAGACATAGCCACCTTTAATAGGCTGATATTGTTCTGTGAAGGAGCTCCCAAGTTATTAAAAATTTATCTAAAGCTTTTTTTTAAGTGTGAAGGAGTCAGAACCCCTGTGAGATTTTCCTGCACCATCCATCCAGCACCATACCCATGTGCCCAATAATTGGGTGCTCAGCTTACGGTAACACCGTGTTATAGCTCCACCACAGGAAATAGACAACACATCACCAATGGACCTCAGAAATGTTTTGAGGTCAAAAGGCTAAAATGGTCAGAGCAAAAAAAGATAGGAAAGGACATTGTATCCTCTGATGTATCCTCTCAGGGCCTTTCTGGAGGTGATAGCAAGGTGACAAATATATGGCTATTTCTTGGAACTGAGATTTTTTTTGCTGCCTTTATTGGCCCGGTGGTCATTGTTATAGGGACAGAAAGTGATGGGAAATCCAAACTTCACCATAACAGGAATTAGGTTGAAGTCTTCCGAAGGTGACACATGTTCTACTAACTGTGTAAGAGGGGGTTTCCCTCACTTTGGTGGAGATTGGAAGAGCATATGACTCCCTCCCCTCCGTCCTACATGACAACACTGATACATGGTTAAATAGAGGACCCCTTCCTGGATGTGATACCAAGGTGACAAATATATGGCCATTATTTGTCGCTGAGCTCTTTTTGCTGTCTTTATTGACCCGGTGGCCATTGTTATGGGGACAGAAAGTGATGGGAGATCCAAACTTCAGCATAACAGGAATTAGGTTTAAGTCTTCCTAAGGTGACACATGTTCTAGTAACTGTGTAAGAGGGGGTTTCCCTCACTTTGGTGGAGATTGGAAGAGCATATGACTCCCTCCCCTCCCTCCTACATGACAGCATGATGCTTGGCCATTACAGTGGTGTCACATGTAGTCCTCCAAGTTAAGACTTGGAACTTGCAATGCCCCTCTTTATTTTCATGCATGAATGAATAGCTGGGCAAGTGAAAGGAAGGTAGATATGTGTGTGTGTGTGTGTGTACAGTTACAGAATCCAACATTAAAGCTTCAAGGCTTTAAGGATGTCACTTTAGAACAGACATTCCATCCAGTTTACCTATAACCCGAGTTTAGTAAAAATCAGAACGTTTCTTGTGTGTGCTTCTGGGCAGCCCCTTCTTGTGTAACTCCTTGCTATGCACCCACCCTCTCCGGGAAAGAAGAGGGTGGAACTTTTTTTTTTACATTTACATAGACCCCGAATGAAGTCCATTCAGAAGACCATGCCATCAATTACTAAGTTTTACCAGATGAGCCATCTGACCAGGTTGAAGATCAAAAACTGAATGGAAGCTAGGGCACCTTAGTTTAAAGGAGAACTATGGGGTTAAGTCTTTTCCCCATAGTTCTCCTTAGGCTAAACTAGCGTCCTCCCATCACCCTAGGCTCAGTATACCGCGAGCTGTAGCTCGTGGTATGCCGCTGCTGAAGCAGATCCCGACAATTGTGCCGGAATCCACCCAGCTGCGTGACTGACAGCTGGCTCTGCCTATCTAAAGGCAGAGTCAGCTGTACCCGCCCCCTCCCCCGTCCGTTCCGCCAGTCAGCGCTGGCGGATCGGAGCAGGGAGGGGGGAATCCAGCCCCTCCCCTGTCATGGCAGAGAGCCGTGACAGGATCGAGAGGTGAGCGAACGCCGGTATCTGTTCGCTCACCTCCCGATCTACTGAGCCGACCTGTGACAGTCTCATTGTCACAGGTCGGCTAGAACTATGAGGTGAGTGGAAATCACTCATCTCATAGTTCTCCTTTAAAACTTCAATGTCCGGGTGGAGTGCACCTTTAATTCAAAAAGCAGTTTACAGATTCATCCTTTTTAAAGCCAACCATTTTTTTTTAACATGAGAAACTGTTACATATTATTGAAGTTTTTACTCCTATCCTATCTGCTCCCTTACTACCTGTCCCTATGACGCCCATTCAAATAAAGGAGGAATGTGGTTGTCACTGACACAAGAACGCGCAGACACCAACAAAAACATTATCAAAGGCTCTAACTCTTCACGGCAAAAAGTTTTGGGTGGACGGAGCTATGCTCTAATGACCATCAACAAACATGTAGGTCAACTTTGACTTCTCGCAGAAGACTGATGGGTGTTTCTCGAGGAATTCCTCTATGCAGAAATCGTCATTTCTATCCCTCCCTTCCTTTGTGTGAATGATAGAGCACCTTGTATGATTAATGGTATCGGTGGCTGCTTTGGCCTCTGCTCTTCATTCTTTTATAAATCCTATATTGCCAACACCCTCGCTGAGACAGCAGCACAGAATCCCTGTACAAACACACTGCTCAGAAACTCGGCCCCGGCTGTATAACTTGGCCCACGGGCACCGGTTTGCTGAGCAAACATTGGGGAATCACCACTAGGTGACATGTCTATGGTTTATGGTGCATGTGGTGTGTCACACAGGGAGGGGACAGTGAAAGTTGCAGAAGGAGGTCTATAAAAATCCAGCAGAGGTCTGCCCAACGCTGGAGCTCCCTGTTGACTTTCTAGGTGGATGTTTAAGAGTAAATTCTTGTTCATATAAGCTCTGCTGGGACGTTCCCCCCTCCCTCTGCCCACACTCTAAATCATACTTTAGATTCTCTGACACTCTATTATGGGACAGCAGGTGCACAGCGGAGTTTGAATTGCATGGGCCCCAATCCCCAGGCGTGTTTACAATGTTTTGCTTGCTTTAAAACCGATCTCCAAGCAGATAAGAAATACGCAAATGTTTGCAGCTCCGGTTTCAATCTGAGTGCAGCAGAGCTCAGACCGTTCCCCCATCAATTATTGGATTCCATGCTTTTCAATCATGGGCATGTGGACCTTACCTAGGGTGGTCTGCATGCAAATAGAGCCAGCATGGGAATGCCCACTCCTCCAGATTGACATCCACACATCAAAGCATTTTGACCACTTGCTGACCTTCCTATCCCCCTTAAACTCCCTTCCTATCCCGGCCATTTTTCAGTATTCAGCGCTGCGGTACTTTGACTGACGTTTATTCCGTCATGCAGCGCTGTACTGAAATGAATTTTCTACCATTTGTTGGGGACAAATAGAACTTTCTTTTGGTGGTATTTGGTATTTAATCACCACTGGGGGTTTTATTTTTTACTATATAATGAAAAAAGTACTGAAAATTTAGGAATCCCCCCCCCCCCCCTATTTTCCCTACGTTATGTTATGAAACATTTATTATTACCCCATTTTTTGGGGGTAAAATATAAAAGACGGGGGTCATGTCACGTAAATAGACACCAAACATGTCAAGCCTTAAAATTGTGCGCGCCTGCAAAATCGCAAAAAAACTACCACACTCAAAATTGGCCATAGGCGATGATTTAAAAGCTTTTACCGCTCATCAGTTTAGTGTTAGCAGTGATGGATGGCCCTAAAATGATTGCTCTCACCCCAGATAGCAAGGAAAACTTGCCACAAACTTGTGTCAGGGTTAAATTGTAATTTTGTTAACTTGCTGCACACATTCCTGGCAGGTCGTAGACTTGCAGAACACTCGCAGCACAAGTTCCAGTTGACACTTTTTGAATTTGTAGCAAATTTGCTTGGCAAGTCTACAGCAAGAGTCCTGCAGGTCTTAGCAAGAGCTCTGCAAGCTCGCTGGTCTGGAGACTTGCAATGCAGACTTGCTGTAATTGTGCAACAAAATTGTGAAGCTTGGCAAGTCTGCAAGAGTTTAGCGAGTCATTTTCAAACTTGCAGCACAATTGCTTGCTATCTGGGACTGCGACGTTCGCGATGATATGTAACGTGTGCAGCACAATGGGCGCAATCGTCATTTTTGCACGTAGGTGCACCGCGATGGATGTTTGCGTGTGTATGTGGGGGCAGGGGATTTTACTTTTTTATGCTTTTTTAATTGTATTAAACTTTTTTTACACTTAATTGTGTTGCTATCACATAAGGGACTAAGAAGCCCCCTATGTCAGTGATGGTCGAACCTTGGCACTCCAGCTGTTTTGGAACTACAAGTCCCATGAGGCATTGCAAGGCTCTGACAGCCACAGACATAACTCCCAGAGGCAGATGCATCTTGGGATTTGTAGTTTTGGCACAGCTGGAGTGCCAAGGTTCGCCACCACTGCCCTATGTGATAGCCAGTTTAAGTGACAGGTCCTCTTTATGGAGACATCAGGGGTCTTTCAGATCCCTAATGTCACCTAGGGACCCCCAAA